TCCTAAATTCTCCTCTTGGGTTTTGCAGCAGAGGCAGGAGAGCAGGTTTTTTACTGCAAAGACAGGACTGCAGAGCTGAGGGTTTCCCCATCCACACGAAACATTGTTGCTCCTAGAAGAGCTGAAAGCCACAGACGAAAGCAAACTATCAGCAGCCGCCTGGAGCGGATGGTTTTACAGTTTTAGCCCCGTTTCCTACTTGTGTCTGGTGCCCTGTGTGGTGGGGTCGGGTGGGGTTGGCCACTGTAGGAGGTGGGCCCGGTGGGAGGTGCCCAGGTCCCTGGGGCACTGCTGAGCGTGCTGTCTCGGGACCCACTTAGCTCTCGTGAGAGCCGGGCCAGCCTCCCGCCCTCCTACTGTGCTGCGTCGTGGGGCGTGGCCGGGAGGCCCTCACCGGAGCGGGCGGATGCTGGCGGCACCGCGAGCCCTCCCAGCCTCTCCTCTTCCTGGAGGTCGAGGCCTGGGGCTGAGTGACCGCTGCAGGAGCTTCCTGGGTGGGAAAAAGCTCGCTTCCCCTGTCGCCGTGGTCCGCCCACGCCTCTTTCTCGTGGCTGCTTGGTGCTCTGTGATGCTGAGAGACAGAAGCCCAGGAGTCCTGCGTTTCTCAAAGTCCAGCATCTTCCACGTCCGTCTGTCAAACATTTTAAAGTTAGCAGCATCTTGGGGGTTCCTGCTGGAAGCCAGCATCCTTTCAATTTTTAAAAAGATTTATTTATTTATTTGAAAGGCAGAGGCAGAGTTAGAGAGAGGGGTCTTTCTTCTGCTGGTTCACTCCCCAAATGACTACAATGGCTGGCACTGTGCCGACCCAAAGCCAGGAGCCAGGAGCTTCTTCCAGGTCTCCCACGCGGGTGCAGGGGCCCAGGACTTGGGCATCTTCCACTGCTTCCGAGGCCATAGCAGAGAGCTGGATCGGAAGTGGAACAGCCGGGACTTGAACTGGCGCCCATATGGGATGCTGGCGCTGCAGCTGGCAGCTTTACCCATTACACCACAGTGTTGGCCCCATATCCTTTTACTTTTAATCTTCACACGTAATAGCTTTATAAACACATCAAATTATTTGTAGCAATTCAGATAGTCTTATATTTTTAAGACTTATTTGAAAGGCAGAGTTACATAGAGGGGAGGTCTTCCATCTGCTGGCTCACTCTCTAAGTGGCTGAAATGACCGTGGCTGGGCCAGGCTGAAGCCAGGAGCCAGGAGCTCCATCTGGGTCTCCCACACGGGTGGCAGGGGACCGAGCACTTGGGCCGTCTTGTGCTGCTTTCCCAGGCCACAGCAGGGAGCTGGGTTGAGTGGAGCAGCCGGGACTGGAAGCCGTGCTCGTCTGGGACGCCGGTGTTGGAGGCGGCAGCTGACCCTGCTGTGCCCCAGCACCAGCCCCTGTGAAAACTCTTAAACCAAATTGCTGCACGAGTGTAGACAGAAACATCAGGAATACAAACTGTGTATCTCTGTCTTCCCCAGGTTTTACTTTCTTTTAAAGTTTTCTGTGACATCGAAACCCCCAGGTGTTTGTGGCAGATCCTGGTGTGCTGGTGCAGCCTGACTTGGGGCGCAGGGGCGGCCCCAGGTGCTCCCCAGGGGGAGTCTGCTCCAGGGGTCCCATGTGGACAGCTAGGCCTCCGTCTCCCTGGAGCCCCTGGGCGGGTCTTGACTTAATAGATTTATGCATTGATTGCATCAGCTTGTAGGAGAGGTGTGGCGCTGGGGCAGGTGTGGGCACTGCTGGGGGGAGGCTTGTGGTGGCCCCGTCCCCAGGGACCAGTCTCCTCTGGCCACGATGGCAGAGCAGGAGGCCTTCTGCCCATCCATTCGTCTGTCCGCCCGGGTGCCTGCAGGGTGGACGGGGCTCTGTGTGCTGGGAGGGGTGTGTAGACTCCGAAGGACTGCTGGGTGTAGGGCATGGTGGTGAGAGGGATGAGGGAGTGGGCGGCTCTGCCCCAGGCTGGAGGAGGGCAGGGCTGGGCTCCCTGGACACGTGGCCTCGTGGCTCAACAAGCAGACCCGGGAGCCCCCTGCTGTGGTGTGTCAGGGGCTGTCTCGGGCCAGGCCTCGCTTACATACAAAACACCTGGTGTGGCCTGGTCAGCATCCACCTGTGGTCAGCGTCCCCTGGAGGGCCTGGGCGCTCAGCCTTCCGCAGCCTCCCTTGCTGTGGGTGTGGCCACGGTGGCTTGAGCTGTCTGCCTAGTATCTGGCGTTCCCCGGGCCTGTTTCCCTGGAAACAAGAGGACCCGGCTCAGCCGATCTCCCCTGGCCAGGCAGGGAGAGGCCCCGTGTGGTTCTGAGACAGCGAGGGGGAGGTCGCCGCTCTGCCCTGCCACCTCCACCTGTCACCTCCCAGCTCAGGACAGCAGGACGAGGCTGGCCCGTGTCTCCGTGGGGCGCCGTGGTTGGGGCAGGGATTTAATGGCTGCTCCTAGGACATCTCAAGAGTCAGGACGTGACCTGCAGTGTGGCTGAACCCATGCATTTTGCAGTCAGGAACCTAACAAATTAATGAACTTAAAAAAAAAAGGCAGAATAAGTGGGGTTTGTTGCTGATTTGCGGGCTCAGAGACGCGAGGGTCACGCAGTTATCAGCTGACACATCAGCCCGCCCCCGAGGCCTCCCCTGCCCGCCGTGGACTGTGCTGGTGAGCAGACACGCGGGTGCCATGCTCAGCTCCACCGCCTGCACACTGTGTGACCTCGGGCCAGCCGCTGACCTCTCTGGGCGCAGCGTCCCTCCTGGGTACACCACGTGCAAAGTGGGGGCCCAGGGCCAGGCTGCCTGCTGGGAGTTATTGTGAGTGTTCGCTGTCGCTATTAAGAGCATCGATGACGAAGCGTCCGTGGCGTGGGTGTCGCTCTGGGTCCACGTGGATGCTGTGTGCTGCCTGAAGTGGTCACACAACAGCCACTCATGGCGAACCCTGCAGGTGGTCCCCGCTGTGCTGAGAGAGGCTTGAACACCTGCCAGGGGAGGGGCTGGGCGGTCCGTGCTGCCTGCTGGGACTGGGACGCGTCCCCCACTCACAGGGCTCCTGGGGGCGTGTCTCTGCGTGTGCCTGCCCTCCGAGTCCTCCCCTTGACCGGCTCGGGCAGGTACCACGTGGCCCTCACGGCACCCACCCTGCCAGCTCTCCCTCCAGCTCAGATGCCAACCCGCGTTCCCCGGAGGGCAGCGGCGCCCCGCAGAGCCCGCGCTGGGACGAGCCGCCGCGAGTGTGCGCCCTAGAACAGACGTGCAGTGTGTTCCGCGTGGACCTGGGCCACATGCGCTCCCTGCGCCTCTTCTTCAGGTGAGAACCGTCTCACCTGGGTGTGCCCCTAGGGCAAGGTTAGCGAACCCGCTCACTTGCCGCTCACCTGTTGCGGGGGAAGCCCAGCCAGGGCCGCCCCCATGCTGTCCGCCACCCCCAACCCTGGCTCTCTGGACAGAGGCTCCGTTCTTTCCCAGGGGTCCATGGTCCCTGCAGGATCCCACCTCACGCTGCCCTCCTTACCTTCAGGGGACGCAAGACCACGCCCAGGGAAAGCGTTGCAGGGTTGGAGGGGGGCCCTGGTCCAGAGCCCCTGGCAGCTTCCCCCCAGAGCCAGCCCTACAGCGTGGAGCAAGTCCACACCCATGAGGGTCTTCTGGAACCCACTCCCACTGGGGTTCAAACTCAGATTCCAGCTGGCCTCCACACCAGGTGTCCCGGGCAGGCGGACCGCGTAGGGAGAAGGCAGACGCGGTGGTCCGGAGGAGCCACTCCAGGGCCCCCCAGGAGGGAGCTCTAGTGCCTTCCTGGGCAGAGGGGCGGGTGGCTTGGGAGGAAACGGGGTTCTGCCCCACCCCCACCCCCACCCCTCAGCTGGGACCCACGGCTTCCAGCTCCGAGGCCCAGCGCGGTGGCCCCCGCTGTATTTAGCAGTCAAGCCCGCGCAGCCCCATCCAGCGGCTTCTCTCTTCCTCTCCCACGGCCCCTCAGTGACGAGGCCTGCACCAGCGGCCAGCTGGTGGTCGCCAGCCGGGAGAGCCAGTACAAGGTCTTCCACTTCCACCACGGCGGCCTGGACAAGCTGTCGGACGCGCTGCAGCGGTGGGAGTGCTGCACGGACACGCACCTCAAAGAGCAGGTAGCCCCGGGGGTCCCGGGGCCGGGTCTCCGTGTGCGCGGTGGTCTCGGCAGTCCAGTGGCCGAGGAGAGCGGCCACCGCGGGCTCGCAACGTGCGCCTGGGGCTTTGTGCAGCCGGGCTGTGCACTTGAGAAACCGTGTTTTGACAGGGCTTGCTGCCATATTTTGCTCCATCTACATACAAATGTAATAAGAGCTCCTTAATGATTTGTTTAAGACACTCCATGCCCTCCCTTCTCAGAGCCTCCTGCTGGCTGCCCCCACCCCACCCCCGCATCCAACAACCTTTGATTTTTGAATTAAGTGTCAGCTGCATTTTCGCCCTGGAGTCGCGGCTGCACACGGAGACGTCCTGACAGGCCGGCTCCGGGCCCCGGCTCCCGAACAGCGGCCCTTTGTATGTGGCCAATCACACGTAATTTACCGCAGGCACCGGGCCGGGCCGGCGAGGCCGCACCAGGCATTCATGCCGTGTGTGCGCTGCGGTGGGAGAGCGAGCGTGGGGGGCGGCGGGGCGCAGCGAGGGAAGGCGCTCCGAGGGTGGAGGTATTTTCATTTTAATTGCGTCTAATTACACTCGCCATTTAGGGCCTCTCCTTTCAGACCCTGGGAACGGCAGGGCCGCCCGGCTTCCAAAGCCGGGCGCGGGGGCACTCATCGCCGCCGCTCTTCCTCCCGTCCAGCAGCTCGCGGACGAGAGGACGTGCCTGCAGTTCTCCATCCGGCGGCCCAAGCTGCCCTCCTGCGAGACCCACCCCGAGGAGAGCGCCTACGGCCGGCTGGACGGCGCCGCCTGGCTCAGCCACCTCAACGCCCTGGGACAGGTGGAGGAGGAGTACAAACTCCGCAAGGTGAGGCGGGGCGGGGCCGGGGCGGGGCCACAGCCCCCTGGGGGAGCCCGGGTCCCCGCGCTAGGTGAGGTCCGGGCAGGAGCAGAGCTGGGGGCGGGGCCGGGAGCGGGGCCACAGCCCCCTGGGGAGCCCGGGTCCCCGCACCCGGTGAGCTTCTGGCGGGGGCGGGGCCACAGCCCCCTCGGGGAGCCCGGGACCCCGCACCCGGTGAGCTTCTGGCGGGGGCGGGGCAGGGCAGGAGGCGGGGCGCGGCCACAGCCCCCGGGGGAGCCCGGGTCCCCGCGCCCGGCGAGGTCCGGGCAGGAGCAGGGCCACCAGCCTCCGGGGGAGCTCGGCCGCTGCGAGGTCGGGGGGCGGGGGCAGTCGCGCTGGGTCTGGGGGAGCCGGTGTCAGCCGGCATATTGGAGTCTGCGTGAGACGCGGCCTCTCCAAAACCCCGGATTAGGCCGCGCCTCCCTGGGGGGCATTGACATGAAAATGAGGCCGGTTTGTGTCCGTCTGGGAACCGGGGGCCGGGTCTTTCCCGCTGCGAACCGCCCAGGACAGCTCGGGGCCCCGGGGTCCTCAGCCCGCCCTGCCCGCTGCTGCAGGCCATTTTCTTCGGCGGCATCGACGTGTCCATCCGCGGGGCGGTCTGGCCCTTCCTGCTGCGCTACTACAGCCCCGAGTCCACGGCGCAGGAGCGCGAGGCGCTGCGGGCGCACAAGCGCCAGGAGTACGCGGCCATCCAGCGGCACAGGTACCGCAGCCCCCGGCCCTGGGGCGCGAGCGAGGGCCGATGCGATGCGTGCTGGCCCCCACGCAGCCCCCGGCCCCTCGGAGGCGTGTTGCCCCCGACGCAGGCCCCAGCTGAGGCGGGGCTGGGGGCGGAGCCCCGCCTGGGCCTCACCGCCTGCGCGAGGGCTGCGGGTGCCTGGGACCGGCAGAGGCTCCGGTTCCCCGCTGGGCCGCACCCTCTGCAACGCTGGGACCGAGGCGCCGACCCCCACCCTCACCGCCCCACGCAGCAGCCCGGGGGGCTGGGAGGGACCCCTCCCGCAGGGTGGCTGCTCCCCGCCCGTGCCCGGCGCTGTCACCGACGCGGGGGCACCTGCCCACACAGGCTCTCCATGACGCCGGAGGAGCACAGGGCGTTCTGGCGCAATGTGCAGTTCACGGTGGACAAAGACGTGGTCCGCACGGATCGCAGCAGCCAGTTCTTCCGGGGCGAGGGCAACCCCAACGTGGAGAGCATGAGGTACCCGCCCCCCACCCCCGTCCCTCCCCACCCTGCACAGGGCAGCCCCCACACCTGTCCCTGCTCAGCTCACGCCCGCCGTGAGTGCGCCACAGAGCCAGAGCCTGGCACAAAAGTAGCAGTCTGACCGCGTCCCTGCCAGCCCCACCTTGTCACCAGCCATCAGAAAGCTGGGCCCACGACCTGGGGTGCGGCCAGCTGCGGCCACTGCCTGTGCACGGGGAGCCCCCTCTGTCTTGGTCCAGAGCTCAGGCCCTAGAGATGGCCATCCAACGCTGCCTCCCCAAAGATCAAGGCCAAGGAGGGGGACGGGCAGTCGAGGGCTCCAGCCTGGGGTTCCCGGGACCCCAGCAGCGGCGAGGACAGGGAGGGGAGGGTCGTGCCCACCCTCTGCCGTCTCCACCGCCTGACCAGGAGGATCCTGCTGAACTATGCCGTGTACAACCCAGCCATCGGCTACTCCCAGGGCATGTCCGACCTGGTGGCGCCCATCCTGGCCGAGGTCCTGGACGAGTCGGACACGTTCTGGTGCTTTGTGGGTCTGATGCACAACACAGTCTTCGTCAGCTCCCCTCGGGACGAGGACATGGAGAAGCAGCTGGTGAGCCCCGGGGTGGGGGAGGGGCGCCAGGCGGGAGCCAGGCCGCCTGCTCCTCTTGCTGCCGGCAGCCTTGCGGGCACTGCTGGTGGGGTTCCAGAAACGACCAGCTGCCTCCAGGGGGCTGCGTCCCCCAGGCTATGGGGATGACACCCCCTCCCCGCCTCCGTGCAGGCCCACGGCGTGCTGTTCCTATCCCTGGGGGGCCCGACTGGCACCTCTCCCCTAAGGGACCAGCCTGGAGGGGCCGGGCAGCACAGGACAGTAGGGCAGGTGTCCAGCGAGGCTGGGAGGGCCAGGGACAAGTCCAGGCACCGAGTCACTGTCCTCGCTGCTTGTCACCTGTTGGCACCAGGCCCCAGGACACGGCTGGCCCTCCAGTCCTGGGAGCTGAGCGTGCAGCAGGGGGCCGGGGAGGGGTCCAGAAACCCCTGTGACACAGGCGGGCAGGGCCCTGAGCGGCCCTGGGGCTCGGCTGAGCAGAACGTTCCGGGCAGTGACCCTGAGGGCCTGGTCTCCGAGCAGATGTGTCCGCGCTGGGATTGAGAGGCGGGGCTGGCAGCTCGCACTTAGGTCTGACCCCTGGGCCGCAAGGTCGGACAGGGAGAGCCGCACACAGCACAGGGGTGTGAGGGGTGGAGCCGAGAGCTGGGGTGGCCGTGAGCAGGGCCCAGCGGCACGTGTGGCCTTGACCCTGCTGAGGGTCACAGGGCTGTCCTGGGACTGGGCCCCAGGATCTGCAGTAGGAGCAATGCATCACTTGTGTGGGAAGGGGCACGTGAACCTGGGCCCCGCCCCCCCCCCCCCCCCCGCTGGGATCCGCAGAGGCCTGCCCCTGCCCAGTTAGCCTGCTCCCGCAGCCCGCGTGCTGCCACGTCGGGTCCCCACGGCCCCTGGGCAGGCAGTGTGCGGCCAGCGACTCATCAGTGGCATTGCGGTGAAGTCAGCATCCCCAGCCCCGTGCCCCCAGAAACGGCCTCCCCCCACCCCACCCCTGGGAGGTGCCCTGAGGCTCAGACACACCCCCTCCACGCCCTGAATCCCCCCAAGGTGAGGCGTCGCGGTGAAGGGAGCAGAAGGGGTTCGGGCCAGAGTGAGGCTCCCACTCACCTGGCGGGGGTGGGGATCAGACAGGTTCCGGGTGGGGGGCGGTGGAGGCTGGGGTGTCTTCCCAGCTCGGGAGCCACTCCGCCTCCCCAGCCACACGGGGCCGACGCCCTGCCCCCAGCTGTGGTCTCAACGCTGGGGCGAGCCCGCGAGGGCAGGTGCGAGCCGGGTTCTGGGGGTGGAACCGAGTGAGCGGAAGACAGGGGTGTTCGCACACAGGGGGCCTTGGCGGGTTGGGGTCCCTGGACGAGGGGCTCACACGGCCTGGCCTCGCCCCCAGCTGTACCTGCGGGAGCTGCTGCGGCTGATGAACCCGCGCTTCTACCAGCACCTGGTGTCCCTGGGCGAGGACGGCCTGCAGCTGCTCTTCTGCCATCGCTGGCTGCTGCTCTGCTTCAAGCGCGAGTTCCCGGAGGCGGAAGCCTTGCGGATCTGGGAGGCCTGCTGGGCCCACTACCAGGTGAGCCGGGCGCGAGGCCTTGCGGGCGGCCCCCTCCCGGCCCCTCCCGCCGCGGCTGCCTCCAGACCTGCAGCTCACCTCCCAGCAGCCGAAATCGATGCAAATTGCCCACTGACTGTGCTCATTACCACGCTCGGGCGCCGCGCTCCTACCTGTCACCGCCAATCAGTGCGAGAGACATCAGCGGGGCTGAGCGGGGCCTCCCTCGGGACTGCTCAGCCAGGGCAGGGCCAGCTCACTCGGTCCCCCGCCTGCCGGGGGCCAGGACCTGAGACCCGGCCTCCCCAGCAGCCGCCCTGGAGAGCCCCGGCCGGTGGTGCACAAATGCTGGCCCTGTCACTCAGGGACAAGCAGGCCTTATGCAGGGGGAGGGGAGCTCTGGGGACCCAGCCACCTTGGGGACATCCTCTGCAGGAGCTCCGGCTCTTCTCCCCGGCGGCAGCCCGCACTCGGACCCGCCGGTAGCCCTGAGCACTGGGCCTCAGGGTTCCCCTCCTTGCTAACGCCTCTGGGGACCTCTAGCCGGCAAAGGGAGACAGGCCGTGTTCTGTGCTCCGGCCACCCGGCCGGGTCTCAGCAAACGTGACGTGCGCAGCCTGGGAGCTGGCACGTGGTGGGAAGCGCTGGCCCGGCTGGCCCAGGAGCCAGTTCAGCAACACAAGGCAGAACTGTGTTTCCCGGCGGTGCCGGGCACAGGCTGATGGCGGGCGTGAGCTCCGATCACCGCCCATGCTCCGTCCACGTGCCAGGCGTCGTGAACACGAGTGAAAAATCCCAGGGGGCCGTTCGCACATCTCTGCTGGCTGCTACTTTGTTGGGAGCCCACGGAGCAGGCTCCCCGTGGCCGCGCTGGGGCCCTTCAGTGGGGGAGGGGGCTGGCCAGCCAGGAGTGAGCATTGTGAAGGGGCGGTCCCTGCTACTGTCCAGTGGCCCCCGGGCAAGGAGGGCTCTACTGATGTCCACTGCTGGGCCGCCCCGGGGGCAGCAGGCCCGCCCTGTGGGCTGGGAACTGGAGCCAGCAGGCTTAGGGTGCACGCCCTCCACTCCACGTTCCTCGTGAGGGAAGTGGGCATCAGCCTCCGGGTGCCCCTGCCGCCTCCCTCGGGAGCCAGGACGAGGCTCTTCTGCATTCCGGGGGCGAACAGGGCGGCCTGGGCAGGAGGGTGGGACTGTGGGCTGCCCAGAGCCTCTGCCTGGTCTGCCTTGGGGACTGGGTTCCGTCTGGTTAATGCCCAGAGACTAAACACGACTCCCTGTGCCCCCCGCCCCCGCCCTGTCCTGGGAGCAGGTGTCCCTCCAGGCGTCCAGGCAGGAGCTGCACAGGATGCACGTGGCCAGGACCGCGTGGCCTGGAGGAGGGCGGTGGAGCCCTGGTGGCCTCTGCAGTGAGGTTAAGGACGGGGGATTGCTCCAGCCCTGCAGGGGCAGCCAGGGAGCTGCCTGCCTGTTCCTCCCGCGTTATCCTGCCAGCACACCCGACAGCTGTCCCGGGGCACAGGTGGGGGACATCTGGCCCGGAGGCAGGAGGACCGTGACGGGGCAAGTGCCAGAGGCTCTTCCTTGACCCATGGGAGCGCGCCTGAGCCAGCCTTGGGAAGACCCTCACCGCGGGGCTGGACGGAGCCAGGCCAGGCCTGAGGAGACCACCCGAGAGCAGGGTGCACCTGCGGCATTGTGCGCTTTGCTGGCGCAGCAGCACGGGACACAGGTGCGCACAGTGGCCGCTTTAGCAGGTGCAGGAACTGAGGACAGAGGCAGTGTGGTTCGGGCCAACATCTGGGCCGTGAGCGCCACCGCCTCTGCACACGGCACCTCTGCACACGGCGCCTCTGCACACGGCGCCTCTGCACACGGCGCCTCCGCACACGGCACCTCCGCACACGGCACCTCCGCACGGGGCGCCTCCGCACGGGGAGCCTCTGCACATGGCACCTCTGCACGAGGCGCCCTTGCACACCGGCCCCCGGGGCAGGGCCCGCATCTGACCGCCCCTCTTCCCCCCAGACAGACTACTTCCACCTCTTCATCTGCGTGGCCATCGTGGCCATCTATGGGGATGACGTCATTGAGCAGCAGCTGGCCACCGACCAGATGCTGCTGCACTTTGGAAACCTGGCCATGCACATGAACGGGGAGCTGGTTCTCAGGAAGGTGAGTGTGGCCCCGCCCCTGCACGCAGAGCCCCGCCCCACGCTCACAGCCCCGCCCCTGCACGCAGAGCCCCGCCCCACGCTCACAGCCCCGCCCCTGAGCGCAGAGCCCCGCCTTCAGAGCTTCGCCCTTTGCAAGCTGGCCTCCCCTAAACCGTGGGCTGCTCCCCGGTGTCCAGAGAGGCCATCACAGAGCCTGCCCACACCTGGCTCTGCCCGCATCCCCACCCGCGGCACTGGGCACTCCCTACTGAGGTCCAGGGGTCGGCAGGTGTCGCTGCGCGTGGGGCTGTGTGTGTTGGAGCCCGGCTGAGGCAGTGCGCCTGCCCTGGGGTGCGTGAACCGGCGGAGCTGGAGTGGGGCGGGCAGCTTGGGGTCAGCCCCCACCCCTGGTCTGCCGAGTGAAGGGACCGTGCAGGACCTGCTGCCGCTCCAGGTCCCCTGCTGCCCGGACGCCTGCTGGAGGTGCTGCTGGTTAGAGGTCTCTGGGGGTGCCCAGGGGACACCCCAAGCAGACCCAGCACGCGGCGATGGTGTGGCAGAGGCCTGGCCAGCTGGGCGGGGCCCGTTCACCCTTCAGGTGAACACAGGTGGGAGCTGCCCTCTGTGTGCTCCCGGGAGTGCTGCCTCCGGGCCTGCGGGGCCCTCGGCTCTGAGATCCCGGACGTTGGCCATCGTTGGCCATCGCTGCCGTAGCTCCCTGCAGCTCCGGGGGGTGGGGGGACCAGGGGCCCAGGCTGCCTGCCGCCCGCTCACCGAGCCTCCTCTCTCGGCAGGCGAGGAGTTTGCTGTATCAGTTCCGCCTCCTGCCCCGCATCCCCTGCAGCCTGCATGACCTCTGTAAGCTGTGCGGGACGGGCATGTGGGACAGTGGCTGCATGCCCGCCGTGGAGTGCACCGGCCAGCACCCGGGCTCCGAGAGCTGCCCCTACGGGGGCACCGTGGAGCCGCCGTCGCCCAAGCCCCCGAGGGAAAGCAGGAAGGGCCCCAAGGTGCCCAGGGAAGTCTTTGCCTTCCGCAGATAGGTGGGGCTGGCCACCCAGACCAGGACCCAGGGGACCCCCCCAGAGGTCTGGGGCAGGTGGGTGGGGAAGGGCCAGGGCATGGTGGAATCGTCCAGAAGGGAGCCCCTCGTCGTAGCAGCGGTGAAGTCGGCGTCCAAGAGTGACAGGGGTCAGGCCCGCCGGCACCCCGAGAAGAGCCGGGAAACGCAGCCGCCCCACCCGAGACTCGGGCTGCTGGCTGCCCCGGGGAGCCCCCACCCGAGACTCGGGCTGCTGGCTGCCCCGGGGAGCCCCCACCGGAGACTCGGGCTGCTGGCTGCCCCGGGGAGCCCCCACCGGAGACTCGGGCTGCTGGCTGCCCCGGGGAGCCCCCACCGGAGACTCGGGCTGCTGGCTGCCCAGGGGAGCCCCCACCGGAGACTCGGGCTGCTGGCTGCCCCGGGGAGCCCAGCGCACCCCAGGAGGGGCCTGCAGCTTCCTTAGCGACGATGACCGCACCTGGCTGAGGAGAAGGCGAGGAGAGAGGCCCCCGGCATCTGCCCGCGTCGGGGTGTGTGGACAGCAGCAGGGGTCTCGTCCAGGCGAGCTGGCCAGCAGGGCTTGTTCTCGGGGCCAAGCGCACTTCCCGTGGTTTCCCCGGCCGCCCCGGGAGGCCCACGTCTGCCCCCACCCCCACCCCAGGAAAACCAGCCCGACTGCAGCATAGACAGGTTAGGAGCCGCAGGGAGCCCCGGGGCTGGGGGCCTCTCGCCCGCCGGCCACACGGTGGGTGCCCCTGGCCTGCCCCTGAGCGAGCCGCAGGCTGGTGGAGAAGTGTGGGGTTCCTTCCCCCGAGCTGGAGTCTCTGTGAGCCCCTCAGGGGTGTTGGGGGTCGACCCTGGCAAGCAGCAACCAGAGAGGGCTCAGCGGCTTGGGGTTGTGTGCGCATGCGTGTGTGGATCATGTGCGTGTGTGTGTGTGTGTGTACAGACCTGTGCATGCACGTGTGTGTACCTGTGTGTGCCTGTGTATGTGGGCAGACCTGTATGTGTGTGTGTGTGTGTGTGTGTGTACATATGTATGTGTCTTGGGGGAAGACTGTGTGTGCATGTGTGTGTGCCTGCATGTATGTGTGTATGTTGGCAGATCCGTGTGTGTGTATGCGTGTGTGTGTGTGTGCAGGATCCCTGGCAGACGCCCTGCTGTGTCCCCGGGAAGAGGTCATGTATTAACTGCCCAGCCCAGACAAAGGCTCCTGACACAGACTCCTCAGCGACCTGCAGAGCCCGTGGACAGGGCTCCCCTGCAGCCGGACACCAGAGTGACCACAGCGAAGCAGCCAGCACTCGGGGCTCCCGGCTTTCCCTGTGGGAGCTCGGTCTCCCCGCACACTCTCCAAACGCAGTCCTGCTGGGACACATGGGGCGGGACACATGTTCCTGCTGGGACACACGGGGCGGGACACATGTTCCTGCTGGGACACACGGGGCGGGACACATGTTTCTGCTGGGACACATGGGGCGGGACACATGTTCCTGCAGACACGCGGGGCGGGACACATGTTCCTGCAGACACGCGGGGCGGGGTGGGGGGAGACCTGTGGTGGGCGCTCCGGTCCTGCACTGCTGGAGTCAGGGTCGCAGGCCGAGGGCCCCTTCCTGGTGGGGGTGGGATTGCTGGCGGCTGGCTCCGCGGGCTGGGGTGCTCTTGGCAGGCGTTCCAAGGCCCGTCCGTCCTGGGGCGGGGGCTTCTGGGAAGAGGCTCCTCGGTACCCAGCGCGTCCTGCCCTGACCCTCTGCCACACCAGACCCCAGACCCGGCTGTGCCCGTTAGGCGTCGCCGCAGCCGTGCTGTGCCACAGGGCACCCCACGACTCCTGACCTACAACAGGTGAGCTTGCCTAGCGCGTGGCGCCGCGGCCAGCTGTCCGGGCCGGCCAGTTCTGGCTCTGCCTGGGCTCCCATGTCGCAGGCCCACTGGGTGTGAGCTCTCGCGGGGCGTCAAGGGCAGAGGTCCCTGGGGCTCTCTCGCCCTCCTGCAAGCTAACCCTGGCACAGCGAGCGTCCTGCACCCTCTGCGGGCCACACCGGCCGGCATCGTGTTGGCCGAAGCGAGTCCCCCAGGGTGGGAAGGGGGCGCTCTGCTTTTGGTCCCCTTTGCACAGTCCTGTGGCAGAAGGTCAAGAACTCGGAGGGTGGAGGCCTGGGCCCAGCCCCCAGGCAGCCTTGGTCCAGGTGGCACCGTTTTAGGACTCGCAAGAGCAGGCACCCTGGCCACTCTGGTGGGGCCGGGACCCCGTGTTGTGCCGTTCTGGGGGCAGGGTGAGCAGGGGCGCAGGCGTGCAGAGGGTCCCGCAGGTGAAGGCATTCCTCTGTATCCCTGCCCTCCACGCCTGATTCAGAGCCACCTGCCCCGTCTCACACCGCGTGCCAATCCCCTACTCCCACCCTCGCGGCTCCCACCTCACACCGCCTCCCCGGGCTGGCCCAGGCCCCAGTGAGCTCTGTACCCCGAGGCCGGCCGGAGGCTCCCGAGCCCAGAGCTGGCGGAGCCGGCTGCTGCTCACCCGGGCATGGAGAAGCCACAGCCCTGGCTCACCCACTCCCTGCATCCGGGTGCAGTTAGAGGAAGCAGCCCACCCCCCTGCCCCCCAGCAGCTGCTGCCCCGGAGCCCTCCCAGTTCGGTCATCAGACGCCGCCCGTGCGCCCCCAGCCACGCTGCTGAGGTACCCACCCCGTTCTTCCACGTGTTGCCTGACGTGGCCGGCCAGCACCCCGCGCACGCGGGCTGAGAGGCTGCCGCGCCGATGTGTGAGCTCAGTGCTGGGCAGTTCAGGGCCTCTGGGACCAGAAGGCAGCTTGATGGACGCGTGCGGTGCCAGGGCAGAGGGGACGCACAAACTGGGAGACGGGGGGCTGGGGCCACCCGGGCTGGGAGGAGGGACCTGTCTGCTCGCCAGGGTGCAGAGGGAAGCAGCACGCTCTTCCAGAAGGTTCCGACTCAAGGTCCAGCCAGGGAGACTGGGAGCCCGCACGTCACGGTCCACTGGCCCCCTTCTGCTCGGAGCAACGATGTCCCAGGTCCAGAGGGCAGCTCTGTGCGAGACCTGGGCCTGGGCCACCATCAGCAGCCAAGAGGTGGCACGGAGCCGGCTGGAGCCCTGCAGGGGCTGGGGGAGGGGCTGCCCTGGCTGTGGTTGCGGCTGGCGGGGGTCAGCCAGCTGTGGCCTTCATGGTGGCTCTGGGAATGGAGGCAGAGGTGGCAGCCAGGACTGGGGACCTGGCGCAGGGGTTTCCCTACGGAGCAGAAATAATGGGGGGTGTGGCCAGGAATCCTCAGCGCTGTACCCTGGGGAGGCCTCGTCCCACATCGCTCCCCTCCCCCTGCTGGGGGCCCCAGCGGGTCAGGGACGGCTTGGGGGGCCCCCTCACCCCCAGCAGAGGGAAGTCTCGCCCCTCAGAGGAAGGGGAAGGGCTCCAGCCTGGGCCAGAGGCAGCCACAAGGCTGGGGACCTGGAATCAAAAACCGGCCAGGGTCGGGCGTCCCCAGCTTGGAGGGACACCCTGAACTAAAGCTTCGTTACCCCCAAGGTTCGTGCAGCCTGTGGGCTGCTCCCCCACGGGGTGGGGAGCAGTGCTGTGCACAGGGAGGAGCCCTCACCTGGGGCTTGTCTGCCTGCAACCCACCCGGCCTCAGCTTCTTCATCTGTGAAATGGGACCACCAGCGCCCACCCAGGACGGCTGTGGGGCCCCTGGCGTTGAAGCCGCCGGCACGAGAGTTCTTTGCCGTACCCCAGACAACCTCGCCTGCCACTCAGGGAAGAGCCGGCTGGCCCTAGCCCTCGGCGTGGCATCGGCGACCGGGCTGCTTCCGCACACACAGCCAGCTGCGCCCTGCCGAGGGCCAACCTCTCTGTGCCTCTTCTGTGGAGATCCCTCCACGCCACCCACTCCCATCACGAGAACTCAGCCGTGAGATGCACCCTCGGCCGTCCCGCGAGACGCGTGTCCAGGAGGCGGGTGGGTGCCCGCCGGCCCCTGCCCCGCGCTGTGACAGCCCCGAGGGCCGCAGCCCCTGGAGTGGAGCCTGGAGACTGGAGGGGGCGGGCACGGAAGCAGCGTGTGTCGTCCCGGGTGGAAAGGTAGCTTCTAGGATCAAGGGGGGGCGGGGTCAGGTCACACTTGTGGGTGAGGGGCCGTTGTCGCTAGGGAGAGTTTCGCGGGATTCTCGCCGGCGCTCACTGGTGTCCATGGCTCGCCATCTGTTCTCGGCATTTTGTTTTATTTTGTTTTTAACTACAGCCGCCCACTGGTCAGGCCCTGGGGCTGGTTACCACGACCCCCGCTCGCTGGCCCCCCAGAACTTCTGGTTCTCACGGATTCCACTGCAAAGCAAATAAAATCATCTTGACAACCGGTGTGCCTGCTCCACGCCTCGGCGGGGCTGGCGGGGCTGGCGGGCTGGGCACACGGGGCCCCATGGCAGGGCAGGCGAGGCCTGGGGCCACCTCCCCTTCCCCCACCGGCTTCCTGCTCCCGGACGGGGCGAGAGGCTGGCTGGGGGCACAGCAGGTCCCTGCTCTGGGGAGACCTTGCCTGCTGGGCCTCGGGGGACAGGCAGATCCGGACCGGGCAGAGTTCAGGAAAGATCCACTGGCCTCCTGCCGCGGGGATGGGGGCAGCACTCAGAAGCTGCTGCTGCGGCCTTGGCCCGAGCCTGTCTCTCATCCGTGAACTTCCCAGGGAGGCCAGCGGGTGCCTGTGACCTCGTCCAGGTCGGGGCAGCCAACAGGAAGATACGGGCTTCACTCTCATGTCCTGCTGCCCCTCCGAGCCCTGTGTCCCGGGGATGGTGAGGGGTGGCCCGGCCCCCCTCCCCCCGGAGCTGCTGCCTGCGGGCAGCAGGTTGTGGGACACCCGCCGCCCCGAGTGGACACCATGGGGGTCTGCAGTGTCTGGAGTGTGTGTCCCACCTCCCACCCACCTGGCCCTGGCTCGTGCCTCTGAGAGCCTTGCCATGCCCTCTCCGCATGCCAGAGGTGGCCCTGCCGAGGCCAGCTGGGCGGGTGCCACGGGGCCAGGCCCTGTGGCGTCAACAGACTGGCATCTCCCCCGCACAGGAGGCGTCAGCACCATGCGTGGCGCCAGTTAAAGGAACCCCCGTCCACCTGGGGGCCTGCCCCCCCGCACACCTGGAAGCCTAGCCCAGCTGTCACAAGGGAGCCAAGGCCCCCACGGTGGCTGAGGGGAGACAGGCGGAGGCTGGGGCTCAGGGGCTTCGGCATTTACATCTGCAGCCTCCCAGGCGCAGCTGCGCTGGCCACGTGGCAAGTGGAGGCTGAACTGGGCACAGGGCAGCTCACCCTCAGACAGGGGTGGTCGCACCCCCAGGGCTCGGCCCCGCGGGAGGACAGGGCCTTTGTGCCCCCCCCTTGGGCCATGGTCCCCTCGGGGCCCCACCTGGAAGGGCACTTCACACCTGTCGGGCCGCTCCCTGGGTGTGGCCCCAACCGGACATGTCCCGGAATGTTTGTGTTTGCTCTGCTCCAGTTCTGAGCCGTGCGGGCACAGCGCCCGGCCAAGGGCTGGGCCCCCGGGAGAGCCTGCTTCCAGGGGCAGGCCCTGGGGAGCCCGGCCTCGGAGACCCGTGGCCGCTCTGTGCCTTTAGCAGTGTCACAGGCCGGTGGCAGAGGCTCCACGGCCCTCGTCCCCTCCAGGAGTGTGTCCTGTCCAGAGCTGGGGCTCCTCCACAGCACTCGCTCAGGGCGGGGGCTCCTTCCCCGTGCACTCGGGGGCCTCGGCCGTGCGCCCCAGCGGAGGGCTGGTCCCGCGGCATGGCTCCAGGAGGCAGACGTGTACACCGCTCACCCCAGGTGAGGCCACGTGGGCTGGCAACCTGTGGGGTCCACTGGGCAAACCCTGAGCTGCCCGCCTCTGAGTGGCCTTGGGCGCCTGCCCTTGGCGTGTGGGACTGACTCCGGAGACACAGGTCACCCTCTTCCTTCTGGTCCAGTGGGAGCCTGGGGTGAGTCTGAGCCCCTCTCTGTCACTGGTACCGCCCTCTCCCAGCCCCGGCCCCGCCCCTGGTGTCACTGAGAGGCCCGCGGTGTGGCTCGGCTGGGGCTCCAGTGCCCAAGCGCACCTGCACGCACCTGCACACCCACCCAGCACCCCGTCCTCACACACCCACGGGGCGGGGCGGGAACTGCCCAGCTGCGCCCCCTCACATCCCTGGGAGCAGCCAGGCCTGTGGCCACTCTCACACCCTCTGCTGCCCAGAGGACACGTGCCAGGGGCCTCGGAGACCACACGCAGACCCGGGCAGCTCAGGAGGACCACTCCTCCAGCACCCACCCCTCCCCCGGGTCTGTGGGCTCCCCAGGGCGGGGCCCCTGGAATTCAGACAAACTGGGTTGAAAATGCTCCACACGGTCCGATTCAGAAAGCAAGTCCCCTGGACAGGGCGGCGGCCGTCGGCTCGCCAGCAAACAACAAAGATCACTGCGTCCGAGGCGCCAGAAAACAACTTCATCATTTCCTGCACCCAGGCGCAGCCGCGGCCGCTGGGCCGTGCCACCGGGGTGCAGTGGCATGGCTGGGCGGCACAGCTGGCGCCTCAGGGAGTCGCAGAGGGAACGCGACCCCCTCCACGGAGAGGCAGGAGCGGTGCGAGGGGACGAGGAGGCTTCGCCGGGGTCCAGATGCAAAGCTGACTGCCCAGGGCATTGGTTCCTGGCTGTGAGCAGCACGGAAGGTCCTTTAGGAGTGGACGCTGAGTGAGGGCACGGGCCTGGGGCCCAAACACCCAGCCACGAGCCGACCGAGCGCTCATGGCCACGGGGGAGCCGTGGCTGTGGCTGGGGGGCGGGGGAGTCTCTGAGTGAGGCCAGAATAACTCAAAAGACCTTGAAACAGTGAACGGGGCCTTGTTTAAAGACCAAAGGATGCAGAGAAGGCACAGCTTGAAGGATCAGGGCGAGAGCTCCAACCGGCGCTCGCCTGGCCAGGAGGACCAGGGGAGCCACGCGTCATCGCCACCTCTTGCTGCCTTCTAGGACTCGGGGGCCCTGGCGTGGGCCTTGCCCTGGGCTGGGAGGAACCCGTGTTTGCTCCTGGGAGAGGAGATGGGCTGGGCCTGAGCACAGACACTGGCCAGGCCCGCGGCGGGAGCAGGCCAGGGCGGTTTCCAAGGATCCGTCCACTCCTACCCCAGTGAAGCGAAGTGCTGGGCCCACTGAGCACCCCCGGGGACTCCCACAGCCCCCAGCAAGGGGTCAGTCCTGGCCACCCCGAAGCCCAGAGCTCTCGGGTTTCTCATCAGCACCCCCACCCCTGCCCCGGTCTGATGTAAGTGGACATCTCTGTTCCCGGTCTTTCTGAGGACGGGGCTTCCAGGGCTCAGCAGGTGGGCGGGGTGTGCTTCCTGGGAAGGTGAACCCTGCTTCCCAGGAGAGTGAGACAAAGGGCCAGAGGCAGGTGCGTCCTGTCCTGCCCGGAGCTGGGGGGGTGGCTAGGGTAGGGGCGCCCCTCAGCTGCTGCTTCTGGTGTCCACAGCAGAGACAGAACCCCCAGGCCAGAGGCTGACCCCTCCCTGCCCCTGCAGGCCCTGCCCATGCCATGACCTAGGATCTGAGCACAAGGACCATTCCCCCCAGGCCCCTGGGCAGCATGCAGCCCCCAGGGCAGCCCGGGCCCCCAGAGCCTGCGCAGGCCCCCAACCCCATCGCTCACCTGAGCTGGACACAGAACACCAGGGCCGGCTGGCAGCAGCCCCCAGAAGCAGACAATGGCAGGGTCCATGCAGGCGTGGCTGAGCTGGCCAGACTCCCCAGTGTCCCGGCCCTCCCTGCCCCCACCTGAGACGGTCGGTGCCGAGTGTTGCCGTCCCCACTGGGGCTTGGACTTTACAGCTAGCAGGCCCCAAGGAGGGAGCCTTAGACGGGGCAGGGGGGGTGCTTTGTGCAGCCAGAGGGCCTGAGCTTGCAGCCAGGAGCCCCACTGGGCCCAGGGCAGGGGGAGGCCTGTGAGGGCACCGTGCGGTGGGGGGACCCCTCAGAATTAATCCTCACACTGATTCCCTCTTGGCCCCACCCACCGACCTGTGTCCTCCGGAGCCCCTTGTGGCTGTCCCCGGGGTTCCCACCCAGCATGCACCTGCCTCCCCCAGAGACCCAGGACCTGGGGGCTCCCGGCAAGGGGGCTGGAGGCAAGGATGGAGCCCCTCCTCTCCCCCTCTGGGCCAGCAGATCCGATGAGGTCAGATGGGCTCAGGCCAATACTAATAACCGATGCCTTAGGACCCCACGCTGGCAGCTCTGCCAAGGGACAGGGTGGTGAGAGGCGGCGGGGAGCTGGCCTGGGACAGCCCTGCAAGGAAGGGTCGCCCTGGCCCCACGCTCGCTGGGGAATTCACACGGCAGCAGCCCAGAACCCCACCCTGGGGTGGCCACTTTGCACCCCCAGCCCCCAGAGCCCCACCCCCACCGGGCACCTTCACCCTGAGCCCACTCGGCCTCCCCGGTCCGTCTGTCCGTCCGTCTCTGCCCAGCCGTCACTCTGTTTATGGAACCTGGACACACGCTCCACGCCCACCTCGTCCAGAGGCAGAGAAGGGCAGCTCAGGCCTCAAAGGAGCAACGCCGGGCAGGGGCTCTGGGGGCAGCCACGGACGGGACCCCGGCTCCAGCCCCGCGGGCTCAGCCCTTGCTCCGCGGGCTCATGGATCTGGGTCGCTGTCAGGCACCCAGCGAGCTCTGTGTCTGCTTGGGCTGGACTCGGCCAAGTTGGACGCACGGCCCTGGACAAGGGCGGCACAGCCCCGGGCCTGCCCCCGCCCCCGCCCCTGGCTCAGGGGCCTGCGTGGCCCCGGCTCGGCCTCTCTCCTTACAGGGGCCGAGGATGGGGAGGAGGCCCCCTGGGGGCAGGGCCACTGAGGACCTCCAGGCAGGAGCTCAGGAAGTGACCCGACCGAGCGGAGCCCCCACGCTGGGTCACCCACCTGTTCCCCTCCTCCCAGGCTCTTGGCTCCCTCCTCTCCGGGGGAAGAGGAGTGAGCACATGTTGAGCACCTGTTGTATGCAGAGAAGCAGGCTGGGAAAGAGGGCCAGGAGCTGCTCAGAGGCTCCTCCCTCTGCCCCCCCACACCCCGCCCCTTCCACCCCTCACACCCCTGCCCAGCACCAGAGAGGCCCAGCACCTGGGCAGAGAGGCCGGCTTTGAACCCTGGACTCCCGGCTGGCTGCCGGGGCTGTGGCGGGTCATGACCTCTCTGTGGCTGGATATCAACCCTGGGGCTCCCAGAGCCGTCGTGGGGGGTCTCTGGTGTAAGGCGGGCAGCCCCTCCCCCAACGAAGGCCCTCAACCCTCAGCTTTGGCTCTGCTTGCTTAGACAGACCCCCACCCTGGCCTCTCTGC